ACACAGAAGAACAGTCAAAATCCAGTCCAAAGTTCAGAGAGCCAAGTCAGGTTTGCAGCCAGTCCAGGGTCAGAGTTTCACAAGCAAGATTCACAGGAACAACCCACCACAGCAAGAGATCAGACAGTTGTTTCCAACAGATTGACACAGGTCAGGGATACCTCTTATATCAGGCTGCAGCCTGCTGTCTTCAATCAAGAGAGCTCCTCCCTTGCTTGGCAAGGAGCCTCATTGAGGTCTTTGCTCTGCTCTCCTCTCTGAGTAGGAGGGCTTGGAGGCCGTGCGTCATCACCTGACTGCTCCAGCTGTTCAAGTGGTGCCTGTGTTTGATCAGCCTCAGGTGATTCCTGTCTTGGTGTTTCCTGAGGCTGACATTCCACAGGTTCAGCTGGAGCAGCTTTGTCAATGTCAGAGTCTGAATTCTCAGCCATGACCAAGTCCACACATGCTGGCTGGGGAATTCTGGGAGTTGAAGTTGAATTCTTAAAGTTGCCAAATTTGGAAAGCACTGGGTTAAGTGTTTCTAGGATACCTGCTTATCTTCTGCTAGAGATAGAACACTGGCTCAGATGAGAAAATAGGGATTGCCTATATTCCAACAGGCAAGGGGATATTTTAATGGCAGTCAAACTGCAGAGGTCTTGGGACAACAGGATATGGTTATGCAGAACAAGAGGATAAAGGAAAGATACATTGGAGAGAAAATGAATGGTTTCCTTTGGAATGGAAAAAGCAAGCAGGGACATTGTCACTTTGTTTTGAAGCAACCACTCACACAAATTGTTCTAGTTCACCAGTTTATATTGCATTATTCTTTCTCTCTGCCTGTTGTTCAGGCTTTTATTGCTATCAATCTGGTTTTTGCAGCTTCCTTTGCTAAATTTGAGGCTGCTCTGCCTTTGCACTGGTGTTACTGTTTCACATTTGCTTCTCTAGGGCTTTTCTTAGGACAGCAGAAGAAGTTGGGCTATGGGTGATTCTGCGCCCTGGACCATATATCTGCTCTGAGTGGGACCTTGGTGGCCTGCCCAGGTAAGTCAGAATGATTTTGACGTCCATGTAAAATATTATTCCTTTCTGGGTCCGTGGCTTTCATTTTATAATGTCCACTTCTGAGGACAGAAATCTAATAATCAGAGCATAAATAGAATGGAGATGCTGGAACAGATTAAGTCCAGATGCAGAAAAGTAGAACGTAAAAGTCCAGAGAAAGTTCAGCAGTCATTCCTTTGCAGTGGACTTCAGTTATAAAATGTTATTTTGCTTTAAATGTTCCTCATAGTAGGCTATTTCTTATGAACCAAAATGTATTCCATCTCCATAGCTATCTGTGCCTTGTATACCTTATGATCTTTGAAATAAAGAGTTGCTTTGATTTCATGCTAGCAATAAACTTTCTGCTTGATATGCTCCAAAGAACTGTTCTTAGAGCTGATATTTCTTTTGATTTAGAGCAGCATTCCCTAATGCTTGTGCCCTCTAGGAATTTTAGGTGTTACAGCTTCAGAGTATAAGTTGCAACTCCTAGGCTAGAGAATCCTGGTTTAAAAAGTTGGGGAAATTTGCCTGCAGATTAGAGTTCTGTATTACAAATGTCAGTCTGTTCCTTCTGTTCTCCCCCTCCCGCAGGCTTAGCAAACTGTTATGTTCCCTCTTCTTTGTGACAACCGTCTAGATCAGTGTTTCTCAACCTTGGCAACTTTAAGACCTATGGACTTCAACTCCCAGAATTCCCCAGCCAGCCTTGCTCATCTAGATACTTAAAAATTAGCTGACAGTCACCCTTAACCTATTTGTGCTACAGAACTTGGCTGGGTTAATCGACTTTCCCTCTGTCTGGGGATTAGGGATGACAAGGATTTTGAATCTGCTTCTGCTATCCTGCCCCTCCCTCCCCAGGAATCAATGGAAATGATGGTAAGAAAGGTCTCCCCACTTCACCCGAGCCAGAAAACAGCTCCTCTTAGTTTCTGTGTGACACCCGCTGCCTGCTCTTTTGGAACAGAAATCCTGGCCAAATTCCCCACAGAAACATTTCTCAAACAAAAAACCCATTAACTATCTTGTTGAATGCAAGTTCCCCATTCCTTGGTTTAGATTGTTAGATAAAGTGGATCAGCGAAGCCTTGCCTTCTTTTAAAATTCTCTCTGTTATAGTTCTGTTGCACACCAGCAGCATTTTTACCCCAGAGGTTCTAAGACTTAAAAGCAGGACAGGAAGGTGGCCTGATGAATGGAGAAGGACAAGCTATCTCAAGAATTACAAGCGCTGTCATCAAAGCCCCGGCGATGGAGAATGAAGAGGGGAGGAGAGAACAATAGACAGGCTTATGCAGGGTGGCGGGAGTGAGAACTAGCCTGATGTCAGAGTGTTTTTCTTGCCACCAGGAATAAAAGGAACATTTGTTCCTTCTGCATTCAGTTGTTCAGCATAAAAGCATTTTATTCCATCCTTCCATCCACTCCCTCCCATCACACATATTTCACATAAAAGCGGCGGATAACATTTTCAAGAGAATGATTCAGATGTCTGTAACTAGAGAGAGCGTAAACAGGGCATGTTGGTTCACTGTAGGCATGAAAAATAGTGTCTGAGCCTAAGGACCTTGATTTCTGGCCTTCTTTTCAGAGCAAAGGGGGCAAACTCAGGATTGGACTTGGGGGAGGAAGTCACCCGTAGAAAGAAAGGAAGGTGGTCTTGAGCACTCTGTCTGGATCCAGTAGTAGGCAGCATGGAAGTGCCAGTGCTGGTTCAAGTCTGTACCTGCAACCTTCAAGCCAAATATTTGCTCTGAAAGGAACGCAAGGGTTGCCAAGGAATAGCGTTCCAATTCTGGACTGTCCACAAAGTTCTGCATGAAGGAATGTGCTAAAAGGCCCCTAGGGAGCCTTCTTCAACCCGGTGGCCCCCCACTTTTTTTGGTTGCTGTCATCATGTGAGTTGCGCTCCAAACATTTGGGGGTATAGGTTGGGGGAGGCTGCCCTAAGGCACTCTTTGCCCATTCCGAATGTGATAGATGAATGACTCAGCTATGCAAAAAACATCAGCTTGATAGTTAATTGCAGGTACAAAGCTATGACTGTGACAGTCTGTATACAGACGACTTGTCCCATTGTGAAAAATTCCAGTGAAACAGCCCTTAGACCTGGAATTTAATCCATGCTGGCTGATTTTACGCAACCTTGTCTTATTCTCCAGATACTCCCCTCATCCTTCCCATTTATCAGAATGAATTGCTGACTTCCTCCGATGTGTTTCAAGCTTCCTTTTTTATTTTCCTTCACTCATTTCATTTTTTTCCCTGTGGGGATCTCCTGTTGATGCCATGCCCTGAAGCAATACTCTTGATGAGTGCAACGTCATCCCAGAAAAATCTTCCTGGTTACTAGATCACAAGGGAGTCACTGACACTCACCAGTCCTGCCTATTTATTTTTCTCCACTTGTCTTTTCCACCAGAGACTTAATCTCTCTAGAGAATTTTAGCTCAGCTAGAGTTTTTGCCTTTCCCTTAACCTTCCCCATCTCCTCCCTCCTCTTTGCAGTGAAATGACTTGAGTTGGTTTTCTCCAATTCCATGCAGTTGCATATTTTAAACATTTAAGATATTTAAACCTGCAATTTGAGACATGGTTAGAGATGGGGAAAGACACTTGCTTTGCATTCTAGTGTGAGCCTACCTAATTTGGACTAGTATTCAAGGCAAATGCAGCTTAATGCAAAAATCTTCCCTTTTCGAGTTCTGAAATCACAAAATGTGTATAAATATTAAGAAAAAGTACACACAGTCATTTCTCTGGGAAAAAGTGCACACAAAAATATATTGTATTAGGGAGAGTTCAGAAAATGCATCCCATAGGAGAATTGGGTAGAAAAATGATTATTTTGCACATGTTAGAACTGTCCAAGAAGAAAAATAGATACATACAAATATTTTAATGAACTTATTTCGGCATTTAAAAATGATTTAAAACCAGTCTGCTCCAGCTCATTTATTTCAAGCCTGCTTAAGAGAGAGGAAAAAAGCAAAAACTGCCAGCGGTCATGACTTCTTTATCTGCTCCTATTTTAATAGTTCTGATTATCTTCCTTCCTAGCTGGTTGCTCCAGGACCCTGAAATGCAGCTGAGGACAACCTATAAGGGCTTCACGGAGGCTGTAGATTCTTACTTTGACCATCTGATGCCTGAGGTGGTCCATCTTCAGGTAAATAACATAACACAGCCTATTTATTCATTCCTGGGGTTGGTTTCTTTTTCTTTTTTTAAACCACATGATCTTTATCTCACCAGAATCGGAAACAAGATAGATGCTACCTTGCACAAACCCCCACAGCTTGGCTTTATTTGTTTCTAGGCCTTCCTCGGATGCTGCTAAACGTTCAAATGTTTCCCTGTATCCTAAGCACCTTGCAAGTGGAAAGCTAGCTGTAAGGAGAAGGCAGAGAAGGCCGTTTGTGATTGACTATATTTCTGCCTCCTGAAAGTGTTCTCAACACAGAGCGAACCCTTGGTTTCCCAATTCCGTGTTCTGATGAGGTTCAGAGCCTTTTCTGAGTTGCTTCTAAAGTGGAACTTCAGACCAAACCGCCGAGGGGCATGGCAAAATTGCACAGCCTTCTCCTCCATAAATCTTCCTAAATACAGTCATTACATCTGTCAACTGCATTCCATTTGCTTACATCAGTGTTGTCCAAACTTGGCCACTTTAAGATGAGTGGACTTCAATTTCCCCAAATCCCCCACCAGCCAAACCTGGTGGGGGGGTCTCGGGGATGGAGTCGTCTCCTTTTTTACAAGGCCCGATTTGGGAAGAAAGT